ACCAAAAATTCAACAGGCAAAATTCAAAGGGCAAAAGATTTGAACAGAGACTTCAGAAACCAAGATATATAACTTGTCAGTAAAGACACAAAAAGATGCTCAAATAGGAAAGATATTCAACATCGCCAGTTATCAAGAAAACTCAAATTAAAGCCACAATAAGATGCTACTACATACCCTCTAGAACAGTTAAATTTAAAAACAAAAACAAAAAACCCAGCAATGCTAAGTCTGAGTAAGGATGTAGAAAAACTGGTATATTCAAAGTGATGGTAGGAGAATACTGTATGATTCCACTTATATAAAATGTAAACAAATCTACAGTGATAAAAAGTGATTAAAAAGTGAACTCCCACCCCAAAAAATCAGAGGGTACCTGTGGTGAAGGGGGGATAGTTTGCAGAGGGAAAAAGAGAGTCTTTGGGGGAATGACAGAAATGTTCCTTGTCTTGACTGTAGTGGCCACTCACAGGTATATGCACCTGTCAAAGCTCACTGAATTACAAGTGGAGCATCTTTAATCCAAAATTATGAAATCTAAAACTTTTTACACACTGACAGAGTGCTCAAAAAATTTGTATTTTGGAGCATTTTGGATTTCCAAATTTTGGATTTCCAAATTTTGAATTAGGGATATTCAACCAGTAAAGTCTGGAAATATTCCAAAATCTGATAGACTCCAAATACTTCTGGTCCTAAGCATTTCGAGTAAGGGATTCTCAATCTTCATACGTTTTAAATGGATATATTTATTTATGTAAATTATACACAACAATGTTGATAGGAAAAGGTAAAAGATGATAAGCGTCTACACATGGGTAGTTGAGGAAAGTTAGAGGAGGGACAGATTTAAGAAATATTTAAAAAGTAAAATTAACAGGACCTGACCCAGTGAAGCACAGAACATCTGCCTCTCAGTCTTGCAGAACTGGACCAGACTGTAAGACAATGAATAGCTTCAGACTGCTGACTGGACTATGCTCCATAAAAGACTGTTTCTGAGAATCAAATTGCAGCCTTTTCCTGCTTTCAAATACTACCACCTTGTGTTTACATGTGTAATGAATACTACCAGGTGACTTGGAGGCTTGCGTGCCTCCCAGAAAGGAAAAACCTAGTGTGGCACCTTTGAGCATTTGGGGGAGCTTATGTATGTCACAAATGCATGGTAGTCACCTCCTTCCCAGCTCCCCTAAGACCCAGGAGAGTAAGCAACCAGGAACTGTAGCACATGCACTGAACAAAAATTCATTCAGTCAAAAGTAAATGGGGATATAGCTAATTAGTAGAGTCCTTGCCTAGCATGTACAAGGCCCTGGATTCGATCCCCAGCACTACCACACACACACACACACACACACACACACACACACACACACAGTGAATGGGAAGTCCTAGTGCACTGCAGCCTAGTATTATAGGGAAAATGAATGATAGTCCCAACAACGCACCAGACATATTGAGAGGTTTATGAGGCACAAAGCACATATTAAGTGCAGAATGGACAAAACCAAGACATTTGACTCCTTTCTTCTGACTTTAAAATTTAGGCTTTTCAGCAGAAAAAAATGTAATGGAATAAGTCTCAAAAAGCCTTTCAGCCTAGTATGGTGTGTACACCTGTAATGTGACTTGGGAGACTGAGGCAGGAGGATTGCAAGTTCAAAGACAGCCTCGGAAACTTAACAAGATTCTGTCTCAAAATAAAAAATAAAATGGGCTAGGGATATGGCTTAGTGGTTAAGCAACCCTGGGTTCAATCCCTGGTACCAAAAAAAAGAAAAAAAAAAAGCCTTATGAAGATGTATGCTTAGAATTTTATTTTAGGAAAAAATCTTATATCAGAAATAAGGAATTGAGATATTTTGTCTCCTAAAGATGAGCAACACAGAATCGTTGGAAAAAAATAAAAAGGAAGAAGAATTTGTCTATTTTTGTTATTAGGAAGATTTTAAATCAGTTGATGATGGTGGAGTCTGATAGGGCCAGGCAAGAAGAAGCTTTTAGAAATTTGACGTGTGTTTTTGAGGGGGTGTATAAGTGTAAAATCTAATGAGTTTGAACACAGGTAAGTATTGATGATGAATACAAGAAACAAAGTAATCCACATTCTCAATTTTCAAAGAAAAAAAGGGTTCTAGATTGTCAGTCATGATAAAGGGAAGAGCCAGAACCTTTCTCTCAGTCCAAGATCAGGTACAGAATCTTCTCCTGCACTGTTCATCTAATGTCCTGAAAATTCAACAAAGTTTTAAAACATTTATAAAAGTAATCTCAGAGATGATCTAAGTCTTCTTCTTTCTTTCCTCCCCGCTTTTCTAAAGATGAAGTAACTGAGCCCAGATTGTCAGTCGGCATGATTACCCTGAGGTTAAACATAGATAACAGCAGAATGTGGATAAGAATCTAAGTTTCGGGTTGGGGCTGTGGCTCAGTGGTAGAGAGCTTGCCAAGCATGTGTAAGGGATTCTCAATTTGAGGAAATTCTCAAACTGGGTTTGATCCTCAGCACCACATAAAAATAAATAAATAAAGATATTGTGACCATCTACAACTAAAAATCTATTTTAAAAAATGAAACAAATAAAATAAAAGTATGCTGTCCATCTACAACTACAAAAATATGTTAACAAACAATAACAAAAAATAATCTTAAGTCTCCAAAGTGCTGAGTGATCAAGAAAGAATTAACATTGGGCAACCTTTTACAGTGTGTCAAGCACAGGTCTAAGTGTTTTACATGACATTATTTTATATAATCTTAAAAAAAATCCATGTTACAAATGCTGAGACTGAGGTACAGCAAGATAAGTCACGTGACCAGAGTGGCTCAGCTTGTAAGTGGAGGTGTCAGTATGTAAATCAAGAACCCCTAAGACAATGGAGTTAAATTAATGATGTGTTAGTAAATTTTTTTTTCTCTTTCTAAACAGTATATATTTTCTTAGTTTGTACACATTCTCTTATCACAAAGGTAATTTAGTGAAGATTTTTCCTTTTGATATTTGAATCCTCTGAATGCAAACAGCACTATATATTAAAAAAATAAAAACACCTCACTTTGTGTTAGTAAATTTTTAACATAAGGCTCTCCAGGGAGGAAAAAAACTCCAGTTTGTGGTGACTGTGATCTCCATGGTGTAAAGACTCCCTTCACGGCTCATTTCAAAGTACCCACGTGATATCTCACTGAAAGTAGAATTGAGAAAACATGCACAGAATCATGTCTCATGAGCCAGTAGGAGGCAGCAGCTCCAGAACAGCACCAGGTGTTCCTGATGCTCTGTGCAGTCCTGAAATCCATGGCTCAAGAGAATAGCTAAAATGCTCCTGGGGGAGAGACGGAAGATGGAGAGGGGGGCCTCAGACTGAAACTGAGTTTGCTGAGCAGGACTGACTGCCGGGGTAAGGTGGAGGCATTGTTTGGGTGACCTTCTGATTCTTCTGTCAGCATCTCTTTCCTCTCTCCTAGAACCAGCCTCTTTCTGGACACATGGACCTCCATCAGGACACTCATTCTAACTTTCCCCAGGGAAGGTGTGACCCCTTTTACAGGGAGCTGTAATTTCAGAAGGAAATCTGAGAGATAGAAATGCTCATTCCTAAAGCAGAAGCTAGACCCAGGGTCCATGGTGGTGGGGAAAAGGGTAGGCAGAAAGAGAGATGAGAAAAATAATAATTTACTCAGCTTCCAGAGACTGGAATTCTTGGGCCTTGACTCTGATACCAGACCCCTATGGGCCACAGGGGGCTTCTGGTTATGACTGTTGTAGGAAGCCCCTCAAAACCAGAGTCAATGATGCTCATGATCCCTGCAAACAGGCTCAGGCTCTGATTCAGGCTTACCCATCTCCACTAACCTGGGCAGGTTTCCTAACGTCCCTGAACCACGGGTTCCCATCTATAAAATGGGGAGAATACAATCTGATTTGAAAGGAATCCCTTTTAATAAAAAAGAGAATAATACATTAAAAATTGAGTGTGAGCATGTGCCACGTACCATGCATTCTCATTTCACTGTCACACATACGTAGGTGCATTTATGATCCCATTGTATAATTTTAAGAAATTTCCCCAGGTCACTCAGCTAATAAGAAGCAGATCCAGTGCTCACTCTTGGGTAAGTCTGATTCCAGTCTTCATTTCTTACATTATGCAGAGCATCTGGAAAGTAACTAGCAATGTCCGACACACACTCCATACTTGATAGATGTCATTTCTTCCCTTTCCCCTTGCTTCATCATTGTCTCCTGTGCTGTCTCACTGGGGAAGGACAATCATGAGGAACACTGACAAGGACAGGTGCTTGGCAAACCAGCTTTTCATGGAATCTCAAAAGGAAAAGGCTTGATGCCAAGTTCTTAATAAAGAGCCTTTAGAGCAAATAGATTTTGGCTTCTCCTGATATTAATACCTCACCTCCCAAGGTTCTTCCAACCCCATAATTTCCTTCTCTGGAACCTATTCAAAAATCCCCAAATGACTTTCAAAAAGTCAGAGAGTCAAGAATACTATGCATCTTAAAGTTTCAGGTGAATTAAGTCACCTCATGGTCACGCACTCAATATAACAGAAGAGCACTGGATTAGGAGTCTGTTTTTCAGCTGGCTCTGGCATTCTCTAAGCTGGGTGACCCTGGGCGACACCACTTATCTTCTCTATACTTCTGTGTTTTCATTTGTTCACACAGAAATAATAGTTCTTATTTTGCCTTTCTTAAAGTCACTGAGAAAATCATATGAGGAATGTAAGTGAAAAAAAAAAAAAAAAGACAACTATAGCCAAAAGCAAAAGTGAGCAGCAAGCTGGCGTGAGGAGAGTGAGATGGTAAAGAAAAAGGAGCTGTCAGAGCCTCATTTGCAGAGCTGGCAGTTAACCTTCAATCCATTTTATAAGGCCAGGAAATAGCCATATTTTTAAATTAAGTGTCAGCGGCAGGATCAGCAACATAAAATTTAATGGTAGGGAAGACACTGACTTAAAGAACCATAACTTCTTACCTCTCCTTCCAAGAAGGAAATCTTTTCTAAAAGCTGCAATATCAAGAGCTGTTTCTGTTGCACTTTTTTCTTTAATGATTCAATCTAGAAAGAAACAAATGAAAAACTGTCAATCAAAAGTATAGAACTGTATAAGTTAACCTACCGGGAAAGTCAGATGGCTTTGATTGTCATTTGAACAGAACCAGCACATGGATTTCTTTGTGTTTTCTAGAACAGCGCTGACCTGAGATGCTCTACACAGGAGGTCTGTGACCAGGGAAGCTTGGGCTTACAGTTGTGATTTCAGAGTCACATCTCATTAAGTTTGTTTAGTGCAACATCTCCATGTTGGTTCTGCTGTGTGATCCTTAATAATAGCCTAGAGACAATCCAGGGAATGTGCTTTGGGAAATGCAGATATAGCTCAACAAGAAATAATCATTCAGCTTGAATTTATGAAGCAACCCACATTTAAAATATTCAGTTTTGTTATTCCTGTTAGCACATTCATATCTGTTCAACCAAGTGTCAAAAAGTTTGATGTGTTAATGGAATTTCAAGGGTTGAGGATTCTGAGGTCTGGAGTAAGCAGGACTAGCTTCCTAAAACAGACTTGCACTGAGCTAATGCCTTTGTTTCTATAGTATACTTTAACTTGGACTCCTCCCAGACAAACCAGAGGTTCCCTAAAAGCAAGAACTGGAGTACTTTATATCAGACTATGTCTTGAACAATATCGAAAATGGTATGCTCATTAAATAGCACATTAACTTTCTAACCATCTTGCGTATTAAAGTTAAACATTCACAAAATCATATTTAAAATTTAAAATTCCTCTCAGTGCAAAATGTCATAATTCCTCCTGCCACAGTGGTGCTCGCCTGGAATCCCAGCAGCTGGGGAGACTGAGGCAAAAGGATTATGAGTTTGAAGCCAGCCTTGGCAATTTATCAAGGCAATATGGAACTTAGCTTCACCCTGTCTTCAAATAAAATATAAAAAGGGCTGGGATTGGGCCTCCCTGGGTTCAATCCCTGGTACCCCTCCCCAAAAAGTTATAATTTATATGGAAGGGAATATAGCAAAATAGAAAAAGTACATATGCATTTACCCTTTGACCCAGCAATCCCATTTCTAGGAATAGATTTCAAAGATATAATGGTTAAGCAGAGAATGACTTAGATAGAGGATTTTTTTTTTAAGAAAACATAAAGCAAAACTCCATGATGAGTGATTGGTTTAATAAACCATGTATCATAACAATAGATGTAACCTTCCAAAACATGAAGACCTCTAAAACACTGATATTATGTGCATAAAGCATGTATAGTATGCTAGCTTTGGTGTAAAACAGCTGGGGACAAACAAATGCATATATATTTGTATAATAAATACTACAAAGATAAAGCCCTAATTATTTTTTGTTTATTTTTTTTTTTTTTGTATTTTTGGTACCAGAGACTGAACCCAGGAGTGCTTAACCACTGAACCACATCCTCAGCCCTTTTTATTGTTTCTTTAAATTTTGAGATGGGTTCTTGCTAAGTTGCTTAGTGCCTTGCTACATTTCTGATGTTGCAAACATCAGAATGGGATTTTAGGCATGTGTCACCACACCCAGCTAGAACTCTAATTATTAAGAAATAATTTATCAATAGAAAGAGGGAAGAACTTATATAGAGAGAGACTGGATGAAAGACATTTTAGATATTTTGTTACTTTTTGGATAACTTTGAGAGCATACTTTATAGATTCAAAAAATAAAATTTAACCAAAAAGAAAAAACTAACCCTAAAACATGATGACTAACTGAAATGAAGCAATTTTATCTGTAATATTAAATTGGTGAAAAGTATTCAAATGTTGTTAGCACAGGTAATTTGATATTTTAGAGGGAGAAATACATTTTAAGTATAAATACTGTTGCAAAAAAATAGCACCTTCACTAGGAAAATTTTGAGTAGCAACACTGGTATTGTTATTTTTTAACTATTTTATATATGTTGTAGTATAATCATGTTTGGGAACAGGATTTTTAGTATAATAAAAATCAATACAAGCATGAAATTAAGAAGCAAAAAATTTTATTTTGTTAAATTTGAAATAACAATATCAGTATAAACCCAGAATCTTTTGTTGTTTTTCATAAAAGATGCATTACTCCTCTGAGAAAACTTCAAAACAATAACAACATGATACTTTCAGATCATGGTCTCTATTTACTATTCTCCATTAAAATCAAACAAACAAAAAACTCATAAGATATGTTATAGGAACGACCCATTCCAGGGACAAAAAATAAATTAGATGAATGTGAGATACTTTATTATACCTGAAAACAAGAACAGGACAAGTCCCTCAGTGGGCCAAGGAAAGAACAATTTGAACATCAAAAGAATAATGAAGCCAGGCAAGGTGGTGCATGCCTGTAATCCCAGTGGATCAGTATGCTGAGGCAGGAGGCTCATAAGTTCAAAGCCAGCTTCAGCAACTTAGTGAGGCCCTAGGCAACTAAGTAAGTTAGTTGTGAGGAAGGGGGATGTGGCTCAGTGGTTAAGTACCCCTGGGTTCAATCCCCAGTACCAAAAAAAAAAAAAAAGAATTATGAAATTGAGTAAAACACATACATGGGAGATATATATTCATGTGTATATGTACATATACACATATATGTACACACACACATGAATACTTCATAGGTCTTCAAAAAAAAAAAAAAAGCAATCACAGCTTCTTGGGCTCCGCTGGAAGTGATAAAGGCACCAACTCCTTACCTGAAAATGTGGCAATATAAACAGAAAAAAATCAAGCATTTCTCTTGCCTCTTTTATACAAACTACTTTTTGAGACTGTAACAAGCCTTAGTTTATGAGGAAAACGTTTTCACTTTACTGAAGAATTTTACTTAATCAATATGGTAGGAATGACAGAATAAGAAAAATCACAGTCTTGCAATCTCTGTGAAATACTTAATACAACCATCACCAGAGAATGAAACAGAATGGATGAAAGCTGAGGAGGAACTGTATAGTTATGTTTTGGCCCATCACCACCTGAATCCATTATTAGCCTTCACACTACCCAAAGTAGGACAACTGGCCTGTCTAGGCCTCAAAAGTGACACAAAATGAAGTATATAGTACCAACCCCAAAGTATTCTTGACTTCTTACAAATAAAAGTTAAAACTTAATCTGATCAAGTTTCCAGAGCTAATAAAGAAATGAAAAGTCAAATATAGAAAGTGGAAACTTTTATAGGACAACTGGCTCAGTTCCTGCAATAAGCAGCCAACAGGGTAAAATCAGAAGGTGGGATCAGACAGGGGCAGCATGCTCTAGGTTAACAGATCTTAGAAATGTAACAACTAAATGTGAAGATAATGGTGCTGATTGGGATAAAGCATCAGTAAAAATAAACTTTGCAAATTTTTATTACAGATTGGTGTTAAATGATACCACAAAATTACCACTAATTTTGTTAAGTATAACAATAGCCTTATGATTATATAAGGAAAAGTTCATATGTTTTAGAAATGCATGGTGAAGTATAAAGAAAACATATGCAGAATGTCTGGGGTTTGCTTTTTATCTTTTCTTCCTTCAAATTTTTGTTTTAGTTATTGATGGACCTTTATTTAATTTATTTATTTATATGCGGTGCTGAGAATCAAACCCAGTGCCTCATACATGCTATGCAAGTGCTCTACCTGTGAGCTACAATGCTAGCCCTTGCTTTTAAAATACTACACAAGATGAAGAAAGAGGTGATTAGAGCAAATATGGCCAAATCATAGCATCTGTTGAACCTAGATAATGAGTCTAGTGGGCTTCATTGATTTTTTTTCTCCGTTCTGAGTGCATTTGGCATTTTCATTATAATTCCACACAGTTTTAAAAAATATAATACTCTGAAAATAAAAAGCAAACTACACAAAATAGAATATAAGAAACACACTTAAGAAAAAAAAAGTTCAGGGCTGGGGTTGTAGCTCAGTGGTAGAGCACCTGCCTAGCACACGTGATATACTGGGTTTACGCGGGGCAACACATAAAAATAAATAAATAAATAAACATCAGTAAAAACAAACAAATAAAGGTATTGGGTCTACCTACAACTAAAAAAAAAATATTTAAAAAACAATAAAAGAAAGTCTAGTGTTGATAATAATGAAAGAAATTACCAATTAAAAACTGTAACAAGTTACCCTTTAATACCTATTAAATTTGCTCAAAACTAGTGACTAAAGAGGCGGGTGTTGGCAGGGCTGGGAGGGACAGCCACTCTCATGTGTTGCAGGTGGCACTGTAAATTAGAATGACCCTTTAGGCAATTTAGCAATAAATATTAAGAGCCATAAAGCTGTTCAGACCCTTTGACCCACTAATCCCGCTCCTGGGAATTTATCCTGAGGATATAATTCAAATATAGGAAAAGAGCTGTATATATAGAGATGTTCTTGCTCCCATTATTTATAATAGAGAGAAAATGGAAATAACCTTAATGTCTAGCACTAAAGGAATGGGCAGTAAATTATGGAATATCAATTTGATGGAGTGTATTACACAGATGCTAAAAACAAATACACTGCAAAATGGAAGAGTGTTTACAAAAAGCCTCAAGGGACAGAAAAAAAAAAGTTTACAATGGTGAAAGTAAAAGCTGGAAGAGAAGTTAGATAAATGACGTAGTTTGGGGATTGATGTAGGATTATGAACAACATCAAAAAAAATTTAAATCTGTGTAAATTTTCTTCAATTTTTATCAGAATAATTTTCAAAAGTAACCTTATCATGCTCCTTTTTCATTCTTTCCTACAGTATTAAGATTTTCTTTTTAAATTGCCTTTTGAAATCTAAATGACAGCCATAATAGGCACTGAAATTCACTAAAACTTTCTAAGAAGGTGAAGGGTGATATTTAACCCAACAACATAAAAAAAAATGGTTTCAAATATACTACATTGCTGTCTCTGAAGGACTCAGAGAGGTATGTGAGTCAAGAAAAGCAGCAGATGTAGTTTAAAAACACAGGAGTGAGCAGTTTATAGGCACATCCCAAGAGGACCCTGTAGATTTTACTTTAAAAAATAGTCCTGCATACT